AGGTGGACTTCTAGCTACTGCTGTGGTCAATATAGGGTTGATTGTTCTAACTAAAGAAAGATGATTTGTGCTAAGGATGTTAGGGCTTTCCCTATCTATATCTCACAACATATCCAAGTAAACTATATCCACTTAACTCAAACCTCGGTTGTAATGTAAGTGTCCTGGAAATACTGTATACTGTAATGGAACTTGCTGATTTCTGATTATGGCTAATTTATTTTTGCAGAAGTGCAAAATGTAGGTACAGTAAAGAAGTATATTTTTCTTTGTATTTATTTCAGGCCAAAAGCCAACAGCTATTGTTTCTTCCATCCCTGGCACCACCCGAGATGTTTTGGAGACCACAGTAAACATTGGTGGTTATCCCATTATTATGAGTGATACTGCAGGATTGAGGGATTCTGAAGACCCAATAGAGAAAGAGGGAGTCAGACGTGCCAAGGCAAGGTGATTACATGTATTTCTAGCTTGTGACTCATACAGAACGTAAAGTATATTGAGGAACATAATCACAATGTCATAATGAAAGAAGAAGCTAGAAGATTCTCTGTCGCAACGTTGTAAAATTATTACCATTGCATAAACTTTAAAGCAGAGCTTGAACATGTTGAAATGCAAGAAAATTATTTAAAAATGCAAGTGATGGTTAAACTACATCATTTTGGATTTCCACAAAGCTCTGCGAGTTTGCTTCCCTTGTCACAGGAGCTGGCGCCATGTTTATGTCTTCTGGGAAAACCGTGAATTCACATGGCAGGGAGTGCAGAGCTGACCTCTCATGAGATCAGGCTGTGGTTGTAAGAAAAGATGCATAAGCGTATGGAGCACAGTTCATGCATGGCAACAACATTACCATGGCAATGCAGGTCTACTCTCTGGCATTCCAGAGGCCAGGAATGTGGAGAGAACACATGAACATATCAGCGGTACAGAAAGTGTATTTGCAGAAAAGGACGAAAAATAGGTTATTGTGCAGAAAAGGACTAAACGTAGGTTATTGGAATCTAGGGTAATTGGGCCATCGGTATCTTCGCTAAAAAGCCAATTCAGCCTGTCGAGGCTGAACATGAGGATCTTTCATAAGCACAGTAATTTCTTGAAACAGGATGGACTGCAGGGAATTAAAGCGAGGAATTAAAATAAGCAAATGAGATGAAGAGTGGTGATGGGCACGGGCGTGTTCGCAGCTCCACTCGCCGAGCCAGCCAGGAAGCGGACAGCGCCGCAGCGCCAATCACAGGCACTGAGACATTATCCCGGCCTGCAGCTGTGGACCAAGATAATGTCTCAGTGCCTGTGATTAGCGCTGCGGCACTATCGGCTTCCTGGCGGGCTTGGCACGTGGAGCTGCGAACACGCCTGAGCCCATCACTAAAGAAGTGATCCGAGTCCTCTCAACATAAATGTATTTGCCAAGAGCAATGCCTATAATAATTGAGAGAATGATGACATAAAACACTATTGTATGCCCCAAGCGACCCATATTCCAGTAGAGAATCAGAAATTGATAAACAATGCTTTGTATTGATCTCATCAGAGGAGATTTCAGTATTTCATGGACACATCTGGAGTACATAAAGACTAGAGGCCACCACCTAAAGTTGGTGGAGAAAAAATTCCAGCACAATGGGCGAAGAGGGTTCTTTACAGTAAGAGCGGTTAAGGTCTGGAACTCACTGCCATCGGCAGTGATTTCTCCAAAATGACTTGAAACTGGCAAAAGTAATTGTCATCGATCATTTTTTAAAATTAAAATCAGATTTGATTTTGATTTAACAGAATATATTAAATAATAAAGACAATAAAAATGGCCTGGACAAAAATGATGGGGCCCTTAACCTAATATTTAGTGGTACAACCTTAAGAGCCAATGACTGCACGTAAGCTTTTTCTATAGCTTTCATTGAGACTTCTGAACCTGCTAACAGGTAGTTTAGCCCACTCTTCTTGTGCAAACTGCTCCAGCTGTCTCAAGCTTGAAGGGTGCTGCCTACAGATTCCATGTTTCTGCTCTTTCCATAAATTTTTGACTGGATGCAGTTCAGTGCTCATAGAAAGCCAATTCAGAATAGCCCAATCTTTTGTTCTTAGCCATTCTTTGGTGCTTTTAGCTGTGTGTTTTGGGTCATTATTCTGTTGTAACACCTATGACGTGTGACTGAAAGAGAACTTTCTGACACGTGACTGAAAGAGAACTTTCTGACACTGGGCAACACATCGCTCCAGAATTCCTTGATAGTCTTGAGATTGCATTGTTCCCTGCACAGATTGAAAGTACCTTGTGCCAGACACAGCAAAGCAGCCCTAAAACATAACCAAGCCTCCTCCATATTTTGCAATTGGTTTGGTGTAATTTTCTTTAAAAGCTTCATTTTTGTGTGTGTCTGTAATCATAGCTGATGCCCACTATCGGATGGTGCGATCAGAAACCCTATAATACCGTATCCAAGAAGCTTGATGTTCCTGTGACTGCAGTTGCGAATATCATTAAGAGGTCCATAGGTATGTAGCCAGCCTTTCATGGACCTGGCCAAAGGAGGAAAATTAACCCCAGATTGAGGAAAAGCATAGTGCAAATGGTAGACAAAGAGCCATGGAAAACTTCCAAAGACTACAAGCTGTGCTTCAAGGTCAATGTACATGAGTATCTAATTGCACCATTCATTGGTTTTTGTGTGACATTGGGCTCAAAGGAAGTCTCTACTGTTGATAGAAAAACATAAAAAAAACAAGGCTAGAATTTAATAAAATGCATGTAAACAAGCCACAATGCTTGTCCTTTGGACATCTGAGACAAAACTGGAACTTTTTGGAAAGTCACATCAGCTTTATGTTTACAGAAAAAAAAGCTTTCAAGGAAAATAACACCATACCTACTGTGAAACATGGAGGAGGCTGGGTTATGTTTCAGGAGTGATTTGCCGCTTCTGGCATGGGGTGGCTTCAATTTGTGCAGGGCACAATGAAATCTCAACACTATCAAGCAATTCTAGTACAAAGCATACTGCCCAGTGACAGAGAGCTCTTTCTCAGTCGCAAATCATGGGTTCTCCAACAGGATTGTGACCCAAACATACAGCTAAAAGCACCCGAGATTGGCTAAGAGCAATAGATTTCGAAGTGACCTTCTGTAAACCCTGATCTGAATACTGTCAAACTGTAAAGAGCTGAAGAGTCTAGAGAAGGCATCCTTTAAACCAGAGACAGCGGGAGCAGTTTGCTCACAATGAGTGAGCCAAACTACCTGTTGGCAGGTGCAGAAGTATTATTGAGAGCTACAGAAATGTCTTACTTGCAGTGATTACCCCTGGAGGTTGTGCAACAAAATATTGGGTTAAAGTGATGCTAAACTCAAAAGGTTTTAAAACTAAATCAAAGGGTTAAATCACTTACAATGGCTGCTGCTCCTTGATGATTAGAAGTTTGAGTTTTCTGCAAAATCAGCTGCCCCCCCTGAGCACTGGCCCTGATAACCTGATTTATGGTGGCTCCTTTCCCTTGCAGAGTCCTGTAGAGCCACCCTCGAGTGTGCTAATAAGCTGCATGTGTCTATACAGACACCGCAAGGCAGGCTACTCCCCTGCTTCCTGCTCTCCTTCCTCTCTGCTCCCCCTCCTCCAAGATAGTAGATGAATGGCTGCTGTAGGCAGTGCTCTCCCTTGGGAACTTGTACTGAACGGGAAGTGTAGCTGAGAAAGTTGGAGGCGGCTGTTTGAAAACATAATGACTGTAAGTGCTTAGCCAGAAATGGAAATAAATACTTTGCTGGGCAATGTATACTTGTTTGACCTGAATTCATTATTGAAAAAAGCATGAGAGTTTAATACTACTTTAAGGGTCCCAACATTTTTGCATAGCATTCAATATTCTTATATTTCAAATATTCTGTTGATGCGAAATTAACGTCTGTTTTGTGTTAAATAAACCGTGATGGATGCCAGTTACTTAAAGTGACATTAAACCCTCAGATTTTTTAACATAAAACAATACTGTAATGTGTGCCTTACTGTAATCCATTGTTGTTTCCCTTCTCTTTGCTGCTCTTCCTTTTAAATCCGTATCTCTTCTCATGCTGGGCAGAACTTCTGTTTTGCAGCAGACTGCCTTGTCTCTGGAATGGATACATGGTGTCTGTGTGCAGGTTCACAACCTGAGCCAGCACTACAGGAAGAGGCACTCAGCTGCAAAAGGGGAAGTTCTCCCCCAGCATGAGAAGAGATACAGATTTAAAAGGAAGAGCAGCAAAGAGAAGGGAAACAACCATGGATTACAGTAAGGCACACATTACAGTATTTGTTTGTTAAAAAAATCTGAGGGTTTAATGTCACTAAGTCAACTTCAATTTTTTGTGTGTGAAAGACTACCCACGGATCTGTCCATGTCCGTACTCTTTATCTTTTCACCTTACTGATTAACAAAATCCTATGCTCATTTTTTTCTTTCATTAAGGGCACAGTAAGTTTCCTGGGAATTTCTGGTGAACGTCACTATAGCAAACAACAGCACCGAACTGTGCTTCACCCTGTTTTCTTTGCCAAAAAGTCAACTGCTGCTAAAAAAAATGTTCCTGCTATGTGCTCGGCAAAGGAAAAGATCCTGGTCAAATTGAGACAGCTGCATCCTTTGTATGCATTAGTAGTGTGCGATTTTGGACAACTTCTTACATGCATACCCATATGGGTCTGGATATGCACCTAGACTTTAGCATAGGAGAGCCACTAGTTTCCCTTGTAGAATGTTGCACCATACTCTTATAACTACCTATGAGTTCAACCAATGGTATATCCTATTTACTTAATCATACATTTCAGGACACATGTTGGCAGCTCTGAAACCATGGGTTATACTGCCACCTTCAGGAGACTGGACACTGACCAAGCAAAGTTATAGGACAGCCCATTATAACCCCTCCCACTCCCAGCAAGCCCCGGTTTTGTAGCAAGCAATAATAGGATTGAATTATAAGGAACAGAGGAGGTAGGACCTGTGTCCTTTAATGTACTAGAAGAAAAGGCTTTTACAAGTAAGACAAATATCCTATTTTCTTAATCCTACATTACAGGACACAGGATTATAATTCTGAAATATCCAAAAGTCCACCTGTGGGGTGGGCAACACAGCAAACTAACTAACAGGCCCCAAAAAAACAGTGGAGAGGGTCCTACAACCTACAGGGCCGCCTAAAGAACTTTACACCTGAAGCTGGCATCTGCTGATGTCCACCTGGTAAAACTTAATGAACTTGTGAACTTAATAAACATGTTAACTGAACACCAGATTGCAGCCTAGCGATAGTGGAATGAGAAGCCAGCTGACCCCTGTGGGGTCCTTCAGGTATAACAAATAGAGATTTGGACTGATGAACAGGAGCTTTAGCAAAGAGGCAAACCCAAACAGTGCGCACCACATCCAAGCAATAAATAGAAATGTCTTTAGGATGTTTAGGCATAGGATATAAAGATTTAAAACGATGTCCTGGTTAAGGTGGAAGAAACCACCTTGGGAAGGGAAGAGGCCTTCAAAACAACCATGTCCTTGTGTAACACAATAAAGGATTCTCTGCAGGTCAAGGCTCACAACTCAGAAACCTGCCTTGCAGAAGTGATGCTAATGAGGAAGCCAACCTTACAAATAAGGGTAGACACATGAATTTTCATTAGGCTGAAAAAATAATAAAATCATAAGTAAATGTGCACAAAGTGCGATCTATGAAGGACCTACAGGTTAAGTCCCACAGAGTCACAGTGGAAGGTACAGGAGAAGCAATGTGAGCAACACCCTGTGCAAGGAACTTTACTAAGGAGTGCGATGGAAGAAGCCTCTGAAAAAGAACCACCAAGGCAGGGACTTGACCATGAAACAAGGCAAAATACAGACCAGATTGAAGAAAAGTAGTGGTTTTCATGGCAAAACATATAGGCAGATACCCCCTGTGTAGCAGTACAGACTCCTTCTGTACTTGATTATTCATCCCTTTAACCCTGGCCAGACAACAATATTAGATTTTTTTCCATGCTATGCATGACCTTTTGGCTTACCCATGCTAATATAATAGCAGTCTTGTAAAGGTTTCTTATATTGGCATGAACTCAAACACATAATATGCTAATCATTTGATCTCCAAACCTTAAACAGGCTCATTGGCTCTACAGATGGTGTATTAACTAGCGCATGGGTTTGGCATGCAGAGCACTGACTCTAGTATGTAGGCACAATGATTCTGCCTTGTGGTCAGTAAATTAGATATAGGGCAGTAACTATGGCATGTGTGACATTAACTATTACCTTAAGTCTAAAATATCAATAGATCTACTAAACACCAGGTGTCTAGTGATAAAAAAATATCTATATATATTCTGTTAAAGTTTAATAATATAATCAGTGTTGTATTAGAAAAGCTCTAGTGCTATAAATGTGAGGGAGTCAGATGTGATAGAGAACTGAAAGTGAATTGCAGAACATATGCACAATATTATTACAAAAGAGAAAACCCCTGCTGTTATTGTCAAACGATCCTGAAAAGGAAGACAAGGGCAATACATTAAACTAATATACAATACTATTACATTAGATGTTTTTGATCTCCGAAACGTCTTCAATTGTTCTCAAATGCAAGCTGAAGTAATCTGTAGGCAAGCTATATTTGCCCATTGACGCAACCCCAAAGCCTGTCAACACAGGCCCTTATAGAACTGAAAGTGAATTGTGTGACATATTATAGATGATTAACTAGTAACAAAACTCTAATGCAATAACCACTGTGGCGGAAAACTAAGCTTCTGCAAGACTTCACCCTGTGTAAAGCTGCCCTCCTAAAATATAACTCCTTCCTCCATGCTGCCAAACAGACTTATTTTGTCACTCTCATTAACACACACTCATCCAGACCACGTCAACTCTTTTTTCTACTTTTAACTCTCTACTATGTCCTCCACCGCCACCACCCACTAACTCACTCACTGCCGAGGTCATTGCCATTCATTTCAAAAACAAAATAGTAGGGCTGGTAGTGATTAAAATTTTCGTCTTCGAATAATCTAAAACATTTTTAATCGATTAATTATAATGCACATACCGATCCAACTACATTGGTCTATACACATACAGCACAGCAATGAAGTAATAAAATGAACTAGGATCACACTAATCCAGCACGTTATTAATCTCACGTGCCCAACTCAATATGGCCGCCACTTGAGTGGGGCAACTCGGAATAATAACGTGCTGGGTTACAAATATATTTACATAGTATAGTAAAACAGCAAAGCCCTAAGGGTGATTTAAACATAAGTATTAGCTTAATATTTGAAGTAGCAGCACCTGTCCATTTCATGTAAGGACCTGATTGCAACATAATATCAGTAAATTTCCACTACACGGGCTATCACCCCTTCATTCTATTATGAATGCAGCTGCTAGACTCAGCCACCTGACCAAACGCTCAGTGTCTGCAACCCCCCTCTGCTGATCCCTGCACTGGCTTCCAAAAGCCCAAAAGATAAAATTCATTAAAGACTTACAAAGCCATCCACAACTCTGCCCCCAGCTATATCTCAAACCTTGTCTCAAAATATCACCCTAACTGTCCCTCCGTTTTTCCAAAGACCTTCTGCTTTCCAGCTCCCTCGTCAACTACTCCAATGCTTGTCTCCGGGACTTCTCTAGAGTCTCTCCCATCCTCTGGAACTCTTTACCCCAACCAGTCCGACTAACTGTTTGTCCTTTCCAGACTGATTCCTGAATGGGAGGGATTGGTTAAGATAATCACCTGGTTCACTTTGACTGTGATAATGAGGAAAGTTGCAGTGTCCGCATCCACCTCCTCATGTATCACTTGCCCCTCCCTTTTAAATTGTAAGCCCTTACGGGCAGGGCCCTCCTTACCATCTTGTCTTGAATTGTATTGTGATTGTAATGGCATCCTTATATTGTAAAGCGCTGCGCAATCTGTTGGCGCGATTATAAATCCTGTATAATATTATTATTATTATTAACAACAGTTTTCCTTTTTTTTTTCTTTCTTTCTAAGGGTCTCTGAATCAGACATTCTTGTAGCTGTAATAGATGTGAGCAATAGTTCGATCTCTCAAGATTCCATTTTGGCCCACCTGCATAACATGTGCCTCAGTGTACAGGGGGATGGTCCAAGGAGTGTCATGGTAGTACTCAACAAAATGGATCTGCTAAGCCAAGACAGTTTATCTATTGCGAAGGAACTATGCAAACAGCATGGACTGCCACCAATATGTCTATTGTCCTGTCATACAGGTGAAGGGGTTGGTGACTTCTTAAGAATCCTTAGACAGACCTTAGAAACTGTGTAAGTGGAATGATTTTTAATCACACAATCCTTCTTTGTGCACTTATGTGTAGAAAGAAGAACTAGACCAGGCAATATTTAAGTTCTATGTTATGATCATTTTTAATCAGTTTGCACACATGACTAATATATAAAGAACAACTCCAGGTGAACACTTTCTTAACCCTAGCAGTGGGGCTATCCCCCACTGCAAGGGTTAAGTGCATCCTTACGTCCTATACCCAGTGTATAGATCATGATGGCTGAGGTGAAACGAGAGAGAGGCTCCAGGGACCAATCTAAGAGCAAGCCGGCTCGGAGGATCAGGTGAGTATAACTTTTTTTTTGTTTTTGAACCTAGACAAAAACTAGCACTTAACCCTTGCAGTGTGGGGAAAGCTCCACTGCATGGGGTTAAGAATTTTTTTTACCAGGAGTTCTGCTTTAGGGAAAAAAAACACTAGCACTAAAGAAAGAAAATTTCTTGAACACATAACAAGTGTTCATGCTGCAATCATATCTGTAAAGATCACTCTGGTTTTCAGCTTGCTCATCCTGGTTGAAGTCTTCAAGGCAGTAGACTAAACAAAGTCTCCCTCTTCCTGACTTTGTATGCGTACATAAGCTTTTCTTATGTGCTTTCATGGCATTCCCATCTGCTACAGATTCCAGGTAATGCTGGATTTGGGGCATCTGTAGCAGATGATCAGTGTACCGGAGAGACCTTACATCTTTTTTTATTTTTTTTCTTTATCACTTAAAAGAATGTGAATAAGAATCTGCTACAGTCAATTTACTTCCAGCAAGTGTTTAAGCTTGCCCCTTCTCTCCACATTTCTAATGGCCTATCGCTGTGATGGACTGCCTTATTGGTCAGTAGGAATGTGTATGAGGCAGAAAGAGGCAAGTAAATTACATTACTACAAGGGAGTGCCATAACTTTTTGATCAGAATGGCCCGGCATTTGACCATAGCAGATGTATATAAGAATTGCAGAGGTATGTGCAGGTGCCTCTAGCTGCTTGCACGTCGTACCTGCTTTAGGTGACCTAGTTACTGTTAAGTGTATGTAAACTGTAAGAAAGAAATCAATTAGTGCAAAAAAACCTGTTCCTGCCAGAAATCCAATGCTGCACTGTGCAGTCTTATCTCAGTCCATGTTATAAGCTCTGCCTAGCTCACTTCCTTGAATTACAGAACACCCCCTTTTGTTGTGGAGATGAGGAGTAGATGCATTTTCTAGTTTAGCAAAAGACAATTGGGCAGGGCTGCCACCATTGCCTGCAATTTCAGTTCAGGCACTGTGTTGTCAGCCCACAACAGTAAATTAGGAGCTGAATGCACTTCTGCTAGGATCAACTGGTTTTCTTCTGTTTTGGTTTTGCCTAGGGAGATAGGAATAAATACACATACTTACCATATTCCTCGCTTTCCTGCCAGCCAGCACCCTTCTCCTCTCTCCACCACCCTGGGGATGTGGGTGGGGCTTCTCAGTCCTCATGTACATTTCAGTATCGCTGGTCCTGCATTGTACATGAAGACAGTGGAGAGCCTGTGACCAGAAAAATGTCTTTGGGGAACCGCTCATAAACCACAGAGGAAGCCTGCAGGAGTAAGCAATAAGGTAAGTATTTGTACTTCTAGTCCCCCTAGACAGGATGATTAAACCCATGCAGAGTGGAGGGCCAACCGCATAGGTAACTTTACAGCAGCTTAGTGCTCAGGCATGGTCTGCTCTTGTCACCATAGAAAACCCACCCTAAGAAATGCCATACAACCATCAATAGAGAATGTGTGTGTAGACAGAAAGGTCCTCCAAAAGGCTGCAGGAAATCCAAATGCTGGTATGCAACAAAGGATACGGAAATGTGAAAACAAGTATTTTATTAAATAAAAAATATAACATGTTTCTGATACATAGTGCTTCTAAATTAGTTCAAGAGTGTAATTTCTCTGCTTTTATGTTTTCTGTTTCCTTTCAGCTATGGTGACCCACTTCAGGGAGCTCCAACAATAACACAGACTCGTCACAGGTTTCATCTTACTGCATGTTTAGATGCTCTGAGACGCTATTTCCTCTATCGGGAACAGGATTTGGTTTTGGTTGCAGAGGAACTGCGTATTGCCCACAGACAGCTCGGCACTATCACAGGCAGGGTAGGGGCAGAAGAAATTCTAGATATTATATTTTCAGATTTCTGCATTGGAAAGTGACTATCCACTTCTTTTGGGTCACTTTGACGTATGTTGCATCTTTCCAAAATTAAGTAACTTGTTTGGGACCACCAGAATGCAGCATCATCCAACTTGTTTTTAAGCAAGCTGCTTTTGCCTGCCTTTGCTCTACTGGATTATTTTGTACGTATATTGGATAACTTCAGGGATAGTTTGTCACCTAATGGACCAATTGCTCATTACTCCATGAAATACATAACCAGCTACATGTGTGAAAGCTTTTCTTGCTGTAATTATATGTGATTAAATGTTGATTAATTATTTATGGGCTTTCGGGTCTGTAAGGATTACTCAAGTTAATTGTAAGCCCCTTGCTTAGTCTGAAAACTGGCATTTTTATTATGCTCTCCTCACTTTTATGTCAAATGCGTACTGTCGTACTTGCATGACAGTCTGAAGGTAGCTCTACAATGCAGATCCTATATATGCATTCAACTGCACAGCGTGTATCTTTGGTTCTACTTACATGTACTGCAAAACAGTGTTGCGAAAATCAGCATTTATCCTAGAGGTGAATGGTGGCTATTGCAAACATGAGGACACAAAACAATGGGCACCAGGCTGCATATGTGAAGAAGGGTATTTTGCACCAGGCTGCATACGTGAAGACGGGTATTTGCACCAGTGTAGATCGTTGGGGGAACCCTCCGCACACCTCACAACAGTCCCGGCCAATTAGAAAAGGATGGTGCTCGCAGTGACATTGGTTCACGGATGGCGCCGTGCAGACACAGAAAAAAGCAGGGAATCACCAGCACTCAGTAATGAAAGCACATTTGTCCCTTTATTACGACAGAGGCGTCACAGAGATCAAAAGAACCGACGTTTCGGGGCCGCGCAGGGTCCCTTCCTCAAGGCAGAAAACATGACCGGGTATTTGCACCAGGCTGCATACGTGAAGACGGGTATTTGCACCAGGCTGCATACGTAAAGACGGGTATTTGCACCAGGCTGCCTAGATGAAGACGGGTATTTGCACCAGGCTGCATATGCGAAGACGGTATTTGCACCAATCTGCATACGAGAAGACGGGTATTTGCACCATGCTGCATATGTGAAGACGGGTATTTGCACCAGGCTGCACACGTGAAGAAGGGTATTTGCACCAGGCTTCATATGTGAAGACATGTATTTGTACTAGGCTGCATACGTGAAGATGTGCATTTGCACCAGGCTGCATATGTGAAGATGTTAATTATGTTTAACCCATTCTGATGAAAAAAAAGCTAAAAGGAAAAAAATTGTGGTCTGGGCTTATTTCCATGGTCTCTATGTTGTCTTCATAAACCTGCACCCATGCTTCAGTTACTTGTAAACAAATACTGCACATAGATCATTAGCAATAGGGTAAACAAAAGCCTATTACTCTAAAGTTCAAAGGTGCCTATTTTCTAAATGGGCTTGTGTGTAACTACCGTAGTTTGCCAGTGGTTCCAGGAATCTCATAGTTTATTTATTCCTTTACGTAATGTAAAATTAAATCTGTTCTAAGTACTCTTTATATCTTCCTGTGATAATGATACTGTGACATAAGGACATTGTAACTGTCACTCTGTGCTTTCGTTGGAATCTTCCTTTTTATAGCAAACAATGGTAGAGTAAATATTTTTACTATGCACAAAAGGGGTTGTTCAAATCCTGCACGCTCAAGGGAGATGGGAGGAAGTACTACTTTACACAATGGGTGGTGGATTTATAAAATAGATTTCCTGCAAAAATGATATGCTGAAAGTATATTTAAAATAACCTGGCCAGAGTTATAATCAGGAAATCAAGAATATGGTTACAATTTTAACAAGTAAAGATTAGAATTTGTTTTCTTAATATTATTGTGCTGCAAATATAATGTGCTTTCTAGTGCATGGAGTACATATTTGCCCATAGTCTATTTTCAAGCTGTGTGACTTCCTTTTAGAATTTACGAAATAACTCTATTTTCAATGGTCAGCGTAATCTGAGCAAGGTCAGATCTAAGACATATATACACATAACAAAAGAACATATTTCCTATTTTTAAAATGCATTGAAAGCCATAGCACATTCCTGAAATGAAAGTTTAAACTATTCTGGAGGCTGTGCTTGTTATGTTATGATTTTTCCATAGTCTAGTAGACCATAACATCTGGTAACATTGTCTTTTTATGTTCATTGAATTATGTTTGGGGCATGAAGGTGAGGTGGGCTGTCCACAAGTACTATATTTAGTAGCAGTTTAAAGCCAAGCACTTGATCGCAATAATATAGGTGCATTTTAAAAGGACATTCTTTTTTTTTTTTTTTTTCCTTTTAAACCTAATTAACTAAATGTATTGTTTACACAGTTTATGTATTTATACAGTTGTACTTATAGGTTTACATGCCCCTGGCAAAATTTTGGGAATGTTGGCTATATTTGCTGCACCAACACCACAAAACAACCCACTTATAATATGCCAAACAGCACCTAGAAAAGCCTCAAAAACATTTGGAACAAAATCATTTGGAGTAATGAGACTGAAATATGGTCACAACCATAAACGTTATGTTTGGAGAGAGGTGTCGCCGAGGCCTGTGAAGAGAAACACATTATCTCTACCATACATACATACTCCCTAAGGGTCAACTATTATTATTATTATACAGGATTTATATAGCGCCAACAGTTTGCGCAGCGCTTTACAATATAAGGAAGACATTACAATCACAATACAATTCAAGACAAGATGGTAATGCCCCTGAGGGCTTACAATCTAAAAGGGAGCGGCAAGTGATACATGAGGAGGTGGGATGCGGACACTGCAACTTTCCTCATTATCACAGTCAAAGTGAACCAGGTGATTATCTTGAACCAATCCCTGCCATTCAGGAATCAGTCTGGAAAAGACAAACAGTTTTTTCTTATACACAACCGTAGAAATCTGCAACAAACTTTGTTAAAATCCTTGCAATGTACATTGATCCCCAAGAGGTCCACATCTTGCAAATTCTGATATTAATTTATAAAGGAAACAATCTTAAGAACATTGCACTTCTGTGTTAGACACTATTCATCTTTATCACTGAAGTGCTTTTTTAAAGAAACAAATCCATTTTTGGGGTGGGTTCCAGCAGGTGCATCTTACATGGGGATGAAAAGTGCCACATAAGCAAAGAATAGTGCCTCCACTTTTATATCTCATCAATAGATGGTGTACTAAAATGCAACAAATATTTACACGTTCTGTAAGTTCTCCTTTGTCACCACAGTTAGCAACAGGTCATGAAGATGAACAGTTGGTTTGGTACTCTCTTTAAAATGGAACCCAATGCTGGACCCTTATCAGTGCGATCGAAGCAGTGTGCTGTGATTGAGTTCCTGACGATGGAAAGAGTTGCTCCAATTAAAGATTCACCAGCATATTAAAGCTGTTTATTGTGATGACTGTACTGATGTGAGCACTGTGCTTCATTGGTGCAAAGATGGCATGGAGGGGACATCTGAAATGTGTCACAAACAAACATGTGGCTGACTTGTGACAGCAGCTAATGAGCTTCACAGGGAACATATAAATAAGCTGCTATTTGTCCTAATGGCAGATCACTCAGCAAGAAAATTCTAACAGTATAGGTTTTTTTTTGCAAGAGTGCAAAGGTCGCATTATTGCTATACTAGTTTGTGATTGGTTCCTCATATGCTTGCGGCTGAGATGAAAGCTGATAGAAACAATTGAGAGGCTGAATCTCACCTTTCTAATGCATTCACCCTAAAGTCAAGAATTTGCACCCTGAGACTTCCATTTTTTTCCAAAACTGAATGAAAACTTGCTTATTGTTTGGCAAAATCTATACTTAATTAACCACTATATTTTTTTATTGTGTTCATGAATTATGCCGATCAAGTCACAAGTAATAGGCATGTAGGCATTACTTTTCATGCAGGTGTGAAAAAATGCTGTAAAGTAAGAAGAATGCTTTCGAAAATATATATTTTTATTGTTTATTTTTATCAATTTACAAAATGCAAAGTGAGTGAACAGAAGAAAAATCTAAATCAATATTTGGTGTGGCTGCCTTTTGGCTTCAAACCAGCATCAATTCTTAAGCTGGCCATATACCCTGTTTCCCTGAAAATAAGACATATCCCGAAAAAAAGATCTAGTACTATTTTTGGGACTTGCTAAAATATAAGACCTACCCCGAAAATAAGACCTAGCTGTGACCATTGCCAGGGCTGGTGGTGGCATAAGGGGGAACCTGAAGAGCCGCGGGAGAGAATCAGCGGTGCCAATGAAGCCAGCACTAGAGGAAGCGAGGCGGCAGCACAGGGAACAGAGCCGCATAAGCTGATGTTTCCTCTATAGCGCAGACTCCTGTCACAGGCGGAGTGATACCAAATGCACTCTGCCTGTGAGGAATCTATAGTGAATGTGCGCTTTGCTTTTTCTTCTGGTTACCAAATTGCTCTTGGAAAGGAATGGCACCCCTGATTAGGGCAATCAGGGGTGCAATTCCTTTCCAAGATCACCCTATTCTTAACTTTGCCATTGCGGGCTTCCGATGACTGCAATGCTGAACAGGCAGTGTGCGGTTGCGCTCACCGGCCCGTGCGGCATTTGTCTTACGAGCGCACCACAAACCCGCCGACAATCGTAAGATTTTCGGCTGGTTTTCAAACATGCTCGTAAGACAAAAGACGTGCGACCGCACAGTAGAAACGGTTGCACGCCTTCCACACACCTGCCGATTATCGTACGATCGCAGGATTTCCCGCGATTATCGTACAATAATCGTCAGGTGTATGGGCACCTTTACACTTGCAAGTCAGGTGTATGATTAACCAATTATACCAAGCAGATGCTAATGATCATCAGTTTCATATTTAGGTTGAATCACAGTCATTAACTGAAACAGAAACAGCTGTATAGGAGTCTTAAAATTGGGTGAGGAACAGCCAAACTCTGCTGCTAAGGTGAGGTTGTGGAAGACAGTTTTACATCACAGGTCATACACCATGGCAAGACTGAGCACAGCAACAAGACACAAGGTAGTTATACTGTATCAACAAGGTCTCTCAGG